TCATCTGCGTAGATGCTGTGCTTCAATCCTTCAATGCTCGATAATTTCTTTGACAGTCCAATCATGGCAATGTTGAACAGCATTGGTGAAATCAGTGCCCCTTGTGGCGTGCCCCTTGCTTCTAGTTCGATTGCTGCGGTCTCGATATCTGCAATCTTCATCACGGCTTTCCGATCTGTAAGAAAGGACCATACGTATTCATACAAGGCTTTCCCTAGACCAAGCTTGGAAATTGCTTCGAGTATGAATGAGTGGTGGATGTTGTCAAACGCTTTTTCTAGATCTAGGCACAGAATGGCTCTCACGTCTCTGGTTTCATTGTCAATGACCTGGTGTTTGATAAGCTTCAATGCATCTTGTGTGGATAGCCCTGCCCTGAATCCAACCATATTGTGTGTATATATGTCATTATCTTCCAAGTACTTGTTTATCCTGTGCAGTATGGCATGTTCTGCGACCTTGCCGATACATGATGTCAAGGATATTGGCCTCATGTTGTCCAAGTTAGGGGGCTTTCCTGTCTTAGGAATAAGGATCGTGCTGGCCAGCTTCCACTGCTCTGGCACCCTGCCTTCTTTCCATGCTGGATTGATGATATCCCTCAGGGTTTCAATTGAATCGTCATCAAGGTTACGCAGGGCCTTGTTTGATATACCGTCCGGGCCAGGGGCCGACCTGCCGTTGAGATCATGCAAGGCTCTTCTGATCTCCTCGATGTTAAAGTCGCCCTCAAGACCTGGATTTGGCGTGCCCTGGTACTGTCTACTTGGTGGTGCCAATCCTCTTTTGATTGGGAGGCACTTATGCACGAGCTGCTGGACAACTTGCTGTTCTGTAGTGCGCCCTATCTCTTTATGCAAAATTCGAGCGATAACATGCTTTTGATTTGTTTTGGTGGTGTTTTCGTTGAGGAGATGCTTTAACATATCCCATGTCTTACCATTGCGCATCTGACCATCGACGGAGTTGCAGATTTCGTCCCATTGCTGCCTCGATAGTGCGTGACAATGTTCCTCGACTGATCTGTTTACCTCAGCTATCTTCTTCCTCAGTCTTCGGTTCAGGCGCTGACCCTTCCAACGGTTCAGTAGTGCTTGCTTTGCCTCAAGAAGATAAGCGAGCCGGCTATCCATTCTTTCAATCGGAAAATCTGTGGTAATGGTGGAGGAGACGGATTTGATGTCATCTTTAATCTGTTTGACCCACTGCTCCAAGCCTTGTCTGTGGCCATCTTGTTCCCTTTCCATCCTTATCTTCCTGAACTTATCCCAGTCTGTGAAGTGAAATTCTCTCTGCTTTTTACGCTCCACGGAGAAGGTAGTGGCAAGAATGCAGTGGTCACTCCCTAGGTCTACAGCAAGGTTCATCCACTGGGCCTTCTTGATGTTCCTTACAAATGTAAGGTCCGGGGTGGAATCCCTGCAGCAAGATGTACCAAGCCTTGTTGGTAGGCTGGGGTCTGTGATTAGGGTGAGATCAAGTTCACTGGCACTTTGCCAAAGTTGATTTCCTTTCCCAGTGTTGTACTTGTAACCCCATGTATGATGAGGGGCATTGAAATCACCTGCTATGACGAGTGGACATTCCCTGGCGATATTAACAGCTTTCTTTAGAACCGTCTTGAACCCTTGCTTTTGTTCCTTTGGACTGCTGTATATATTAAGAATGAAAATGCTCTGACGGTTGCTGGTACCCGGCACGATCTCTACCAAGACGTGTTCCAACCGGCCTGCTTCTATCTGGCGTAGCGGGTGCCATATGAGTTTTAGAATAGCGTTTGCCCTGCTGACAACCGCAACGCACGGTCGCAGTGACACCGTAGCCTCGAAACCAGCGCTTGCAGGCCACATGCGGGCTGTTATCGCTGCACGCAATTTCGGGTTTTCTGCGTGTGGTCCGCGAATGCCGACTCGCGTTACGACGCATGTGCAGTGGCAGCGGCCGCACCGCGAGGGTTCACTGTGCACTATTCGAAAACTCCATAATAGCGAGTTTTAGTATAGCGTTCCGCGAGTCGTTGCGGTGCGGTTGCTGCCACTGCGCATGCGTCGTAACGCGAGCCGCCGTTCGCGGCCCACCCACAGAAAACCCGAAATAGCGGGTGGTGTGTGCGGCCCCCAAACGCTGGTTTCGAGGCTACGGTGTCGCTGCGATTGTGCGTTGCGGTTTGCAGGAGGGCAAACGCTATTCTAAAGCTCATATGACGCCCGCAGCGCCTGCAAACGTTATTCTAAAGCTCCCTAATGTAGTTACAAAGTAATAACGTTCCCGCTGCTCTCGGTTGTAGCGCACAATCACTTGGTGTGGTTTGTTAGTGCGTGTGTTGAATGCGGAAGTGCGGGAATTTGTAATGTCTACTTCAGTGAATTTTTCGTTAAAATTTTCCCCTGTTCAGGAAAATTCTAGCTAGGGAATTCAATATCTTGAGTAGTATTGTAGTATTGTGGCTCTCGATAGCTTAATTAGTATAAGGTTCGAGCTCAACATATCAGCTGGTAAAATACCTACATGTGCACATGGCCAGCTGTTAAAATTGTTGAAATTCACACTTACCATATCAAGTTGACTTTATTGATTCTTATGCGATTTATGTTTGTAAGGAATTTGACTGCAACTGATTCATATTACCTCTATGTCACTGTGTTTAATTGACATCACGCAGAACGATCTGTGCCTTCTTGAACACTGGAAGAGGTGGGACTATTTTTCTGGGAATCCTTGACAATGGTGATGTCAACGGTCTCCATCTCACAGAATACCAAGTGAGTCAGTGAAGGACTGTATATAGCCTATTAATTATTGCTTTTGCGAGATTGCAAAGCTTGCAGCAGGGCTCTGCACTACCCGTTTACTGCTTTGTCGTTCTAGAGGCAATATAACTGCATGAGCTTGTTCAAATGTGATAGTGAACAACTCGGCGTGTTGGTACTGCATGATACGAAATAGAAGGTGCAAAGAAGACGACGGACGAAAAGAAGACACACTGAGAGTGCCACTTGTAACAATGTTTATTCCAAGAAAAATGAAAGATACTTATGCAGACTGTCACATTACATTGCTGCGCAGTCACATTGAGATATTGCAACTCTTTCTGAGATAGAAGCACGCAGGCCACACTAGCGCTATGATTCCCGGCTTTAATTATCTTTTTGTCTCAGTTATTAATTTGTTCCACTTGTCACGGCTCTTGGCAATCACGGATTGTGTGGAAAAAACCGGTACACACTTTCAATCTGTGCAATGTGTTGCAAGGTGATCCTCTCTGCCATTTCTAACATTGTTACAATCCTGTATGAGCCTGTCGTTAAGCATTGTTCAGTTTGGCCTACGTGCTTGGACAGAGGAATATCGTAGACCACACCAATCTGGCGTTCGGTATATTTACTTTCGTGGTTTATGATACAGGCTGTTGCTTTTTGAAGGCAAGAGTTTGACATTTCGCAAAGTTTAGAAATTTTCAAAGCTGCAGAGATGATCACCTTTACATCTGCTAACTTAGCAATCTTAGAGTTATGGGGCACACTATGAACATACGGTAACACGGCTCTCTTTTTTTGTTTACACTAGTTGGCTCTCAGTCCACTTGGCGGGTTCATGATTGATTTTCAAAAAATTGTTTCAGCTACACAGCGCCTGTGTGTTCATGTCTTCTCTCTTGTGAGTGTGTTTGCGGAGACATTGTAGAGATTGCAAGTGTGTACTAGATCTTTGCAAAAGCTTTATGATTGCCATGAGTTGAGACAAGTAGAACAGATTATAATTGAGGCAAAAAAGAGATTGTTGCATGTGGCCTTCGTGTCTTTATTGCAGAAAGATTTGCAATATCTCAATGTGACTGTCCAGCTATGAATTGTGACAACACTGTCCACAGGAATAGCAACAGTTTTTTCTTGGAATAAACTCTGCTGTAAGTGATGGCACCCTCTGTGTGTCCCCGTTTTTGTCCATCGTCTCCTTTGTGCCTTCTATTTCGAAAATTGTTCGGCTGGCCGAAGACGCTGCCAGGATTCAAGGCCTGGCCGCTGCCTGAGGAAGGGGGTTACAGAGTCTCCCAGCCCCCCGCCACCTTGGACCCCAGCAGGGACAATTCAATAAAGTTTCTTCTCTCTCTCTCTCTCGAAAATTGTTGCAATTGTAAAAATACCACAGTGAATAAACTGTCTCTACATGTGAGGCCATTGCTGTGTACATTGCTGTGTATCTATGCTTATGTAAAGGAACTCTGTTTTGTGAGGCCACTTGAGGCATCACTAAATTTTACTGCTGCACTGTAAACATTTTATGCATGCTTCTAGAGGGAAAAACAGTAAGGCGTCTCTGACGTGAAGTTGCCCAATCATTTTTTTTTCCAGAAAGACCACTTGGCTTTGAGTCTTGAAAACTTGATGCTGCGGTACAAGCCAGCTGTCCCAAAACACATGTACGAGCTGCGGTTCGTTCCAGTCATCTCTGAGGGTTTGCCATTGCCGACAAACGAAAGGTGCGATGCTCAATTTATGTTTTGTCATATGTAAGACATTCTTTTTTCTTTTTTACATTATTTGATAGGCAGTGGAAGTGCTTGGTAGTTGAAAAGGGTCTCCACTCAATCTTCGTGGGTGCCAGTCAGGAATCTTAAGTGGTAGTCACTGCAAAATATACTGTAAGTGTGACCACACTTGTTTGTCTTCCACTTATGGCAATAGTGAGTTATTTCTTGTTTAGCTCTATTTGTAACTTCAAATCTTAGCAAGTTTTTTTCTTCGCATGTTGTCTTGCTTGGCGCCCGATCCCAAGTAGTGCAGCACAATATCCAAGATAATGTGAAGATGTGTAATGCCATATTTTGTTTGTTTTTTTTTTGCCTGCCTATCAACCTGTTGCACTGAGACAAACATGCGCTCTTGTTTTTGCAGACGTGAGATGAACAGCAAGGAGAGGTTCAGGCCACACAAATTGCAGTGTTCGACGCCATGCTGGTGTGATGATGAAGCTACTGCTCAGCTGAGTGTTGTAAGCCCCAGCCATATTGCTACCCTGTGCACATTTTTTGCTTATTCTGCCTTTCGTAGTGGCTTCTATGAGAAAGTGCACATGATTGCGCATTTTATTATTTAATGCTGGTTACTACGAGAACAATTGAAATTAAATATAATACAGTATTTCAATTATTCCCTAAGAAATCATTATACCGGCCGTCCAAACACTGTTAAACATGGAGAGTATGCTGGATCAAGTGTAGCGGGAGCTTTCATGGTTGACATTGCCTCTACTGTAAAAGGACTAATCAGTGTTTGATGCAAACAACCCTGTCATGCCTATGTGACTTCATTTCTTTTAGCTTTGTGATCATAAGCACTACGAGCAGATAAAATACTGTGCAATTCGAAGCACATCCTTGACCTCTTAATGCATTACAGATGAAAAGTGAATTATTGTTTACAAGCATGTTCAGAGCCTAACAGCTACCTTTTAGGTTGAGGGTGACAGCTTGGTGAAGGACACTCAAACTTGTGTAGATTTGTGGTTAAAATTAAATATTTACATTCTATGAAATGGGGCGAGTCAAGCGAGGCCTCCGGGTGAATAAGCACCTCACCCCACTGAGCTAAGTCCTGAGCAAAGCCTATGTGCGTGGAGATACAAACAGGATTGTTTTTTAAGAAAAGTGTTCATGTGTTTTTAAATGCAACACGTAAATGTCTCACCAGAATGACCCAGACAATATTTTCTTTAGATATATTGCATGTTATATATTTTGTTTATATTTAAGAGAGATTTAAATGACCACAGCATAAAATTAAAAACAAAGCTGTCCTCATTACGGTGGCATGTCATCTAATCTTTAATGCTATAACAATAGTTATCAATGTTGATGCAAGTGAAAACATCTGCTTTATGTTGGCTGCTGCACTTACAATTGTATTTTTCTGTATTTTAGCCATTGCATTAATGTTATACTGCTAGTAAGTTTTTTATAGTGCTGTTTTTCCAGTCTGAATGTTATGCATTGGTTTGTGGCCTAGCCTACGTGTATACCGTTCAATTCGCTATATTTCTTGCATTCATTGATTTTTTTGTCCTGCATAAACCAGGGCAGATCCGTGATGCGGTATGTTGTGGAGATTAGGCTATCTGCATGGGACAGTTCTGACCCGAGAAACAGTGTGTTCAATAAAAGCAAGATGGGCATCCACCCCATGTTTGACAACGAAGAGGATATCTGCTTTTTGCGCCGTCAGGGCAGCAACATTCGGGTAATTTCACATCTATGCTTTCACATCTGGCGGCTTGAACTCACACGGAGTGCTAACGGTTTTAAGTTGCTTGCTCTGAGGTTTATTTGAGACTACTAGATATATTCACTTGGGAGGATGTCGAGGCATGCTCATTGATACAGTTCATTAGAATACATGGCACTTTACAAACGCACATACACAGGGCAAGAACAAAGATGGGCACTGTTCTCGCTCTTGCCCTATGTATTCTAATATATTTGTGCATCATTGTCAAACTTCAATGCCCTTGCACAATATGTTCCTTTTTTGAGAACTAGTAGGTAACGTTGCTTATTATAAATGCTGCTTAACATGTTTTGTGTGGTGGTTTTCGGCCCAGTAAAAGGAGGAGTTGAAACGTCCACGATGCAAGGAATTGTCATTGTTACCAGTACAACCCCTCCCTCATTCTACGTCAATGGAGTATTAACAAATAGCTTCAATATTGTATCAGTTGTACCACATGCGTTATGCACAATTCAATATAATACAGAGCTTGACTAAGAAATGCAGACCTGTCAGCATTACCATCATTGTGACATATAACACATTGCAATAACATTTGCTGATCTCATCCAGAAGTATACCAAGCATGATGATGTTGCTAATCGATAAAATAATAATACTTAACGAGTACTGTCGACATTTCTTCTGGCTTTTGCATTTGCCCACAGCATCTGATACTAATCACAGGAACAAAGCAAACCAGTGTATTATGACATCACGAAGGCCTTAATTTGGATACCACAGACTAAAATATGCTGTCTCCACCATTGCATGCTATCCTAGGCCTGTGTTCATAACTTGATGAAGACCTGGGCCTTCATTATATATAGTGGTCAAGTGCATGGAAAATGGAAGAAATGTCACAGTGTGTCATTATTTAGCTCTGAATGCACGTGAAGTGGTTAGGCTTTGTTGTGAATAGAAACTTTTGCCAGATTTCTGTTCATAGTGGCTTGTTTTGAATACATGTTCTCATCGCAGTGAATTAAGCAGCTTCACAGGAGATCAGTCTTTATTTTTTGATTAATTTAAAATCCTGTAAAATGAACTGCGGCATGCATCTTATGTTTCATTGATTGATATGTACTGTTTAATGTCCCAAAACGGCCATATGATTATGAGAGATGCCGTAATGGAGGGCTGCGGAGATTTAGACCACCTGGGGTTCTTTAACCTGCACTCAAATCTGAGCACATGAGCCTACAGCATTTTCACCTCCATAGAAAACGCAGCCGATGCAGCTGGCATTTGATCCCGTTACCTGTTGGTCAGCAGCCGAGTAACTTAACCACTAGACCACTGCGGCGGGGCATAGAATCTTACACCAGAACTGGCAATAACTATATTTTAGCTAGACGAAAAAGAGTAAACATAATTTACAAAGAACAGTCAAAAAATTTGCCTCATGTAATAAATTACATCTAGTGACATTTTCCTTTACAGTGCTGAAATTGCATGCTTCGGTTTGTTTCCGTTATCAGTTCCTGAAGTGGTGTCCCCCCGTTTTTTTTTTGGGTGTATTAGTGCACTTTGCAAGATGTTATCGACATGACCCATCAAGAAGTTAAAAATTACTACTGCTCCAAGTAAGTTTTATTGCTTGTCAAAAATGCTGCTTGCTTTTTTTTATACACTAATTTGCTGCTTACGCTTATTTCAGGACAGACATTTAAAAGCCCCTTGAGGAAACTTTGACGAGCACCGCATAGCATTAGGTAGTACGTTGCATTGCCAGTAGAGCTTGACATGCCCCACGTGTGAAGAGAAAGGCCTTGAGGAAGATTTCCAGCAGTATTTCAATCAAATATACATGAGCACATTGCTTTCTGAGGCATTGAATATTGTGCTTCGCATTTTTATGTTGCGTTCCATTGTATATGTTCCTTGGCACCAGTCTGACCCGGTGACCACAGACTCATTAAAGTATTCATATTAAGAAGTAGCTCCGTGACATTCTGATTGAAGTATAAGAATATAAGTGTATGTTAATTGAAACCAATAAGCAACAGTATACCACAGTGTCACCACAAGCTAGTCTGGCCTAGTCAATAGTACTCTTTAAATTGTGAAATTCTAGTCTAAGATTCCTAAGCATATTATAGATTTTCGAAACCTATGCTGTTCACATGCAAAAAAAAGGAAAATAACACCACTTCATGCTTCCAGGAGTATTTTGCTACATTGCTAACTTGCACAATTTTGTGTTGCGATGATGGAAGTAGCTTGCAAATGACAGTTTTCCTCATCAAGTTTGGAATTTTCCCAAAATGCATATCAAATTATAATGCACTATGCATTTAACATAAATTTGGCATATCTTATTTTTCACATTAGACATTTTTACCTCCTGTGCGATGTTGTGTTGTGCGAGATATATATCTTGATTTGCTTTGAAAGGACCATTCACTTGTAAACCAACAAGACACCTGCAAATTTACACCCCTTATATAGTGAATGCACATTATTTAGGATTATTTTGTAAACCACAGATATTGTGATTTAAAGAAAAAGAAATTTGGTGTGTTTACAAGTGTAACCACTTATTAAACCTCACAACTCTACTTATCCAACAGTCTAGATTATTCAGATCCTCTCCACAAAATCAACAAGGTGAGGCTTCTATATTGTATCGTTGATATTAGCTGGAACTTCAATGCAAGTGCCTGATGACAGTGCTTCTGCCGATTAAGGTAGACATTATTACTGAATACTAAACATATTGTGTTTTTTCCATCACCTTGAGATTCCTGCTGTGCTGCGAACTCACCTTTTCCTCAGCATCACCGTTACGCAGTCCTTCCCCCGGCTTTCTCTTGCCACTGAACGCAAAGATCACCTTGAGGTTGTCGGTCATTGTCCCCAAAGAAAGAGTTCACTTGGAACGTGTTCATGAACATCTTAAAGAAGAACTAAAGAGTTGTGCATCAAAACGAGATCACAGGTGTGAAATAAATGTTTGGTGTGTACGCACTGCTTTTTTGTGTTTCTTGCATTTTGGTACACAGAACTATATTGCCACTGAAAACATTTATCAGATGTATACTTTCCACACAGCATAAGGAAAAATAATTTTTTAATTATATGGAGTGCTGGGTAAGAAATGAACAGGTAAGCCTAGGCACTGGAGTTTCTTGTGCCTCTTGCCTCTGATATTCCTAGCTCATTGTGAAAGATGCGGTGCTTGAGCTTGGGAGCAGTTATATACAGAACTAAACGGCTGAACGAGGCCAAACTCCTGTTTGCAATGCTTTTAAATAATAACACATTCTAAACATTGAGTGTGTGCTGTTAATTGTACATTGCAGTGCATAAGTAGGCGAAAGTAATAGCAAAATCATTTCGTGACCGAGTTTTATTGTAGGGGTAATTGGCTGTTAAATAGCTATAAAGATGCTGCATATGTTTACACCAGCCGCACCTCTAAAAACAGGAATTTAAGTGAAACCACCATTAGACTTTAGGTAAGACAGAACAATAGGACGGCATTAAACCGCATAATTAAGTAGCATTGTGTGAGAAAAATGCAATTCGAGAAGGAAGGGGTGGTATAGCTTTGCCATCCCACTTACCACCATAGCAGTGAAGCTGCATTTTTCATGTACAACAAGAAATACGTGCAACTAGCCATCACCCGCTTGAGGTCGCACAGTAGTCGGCACGGAAAGAGTTTGGTGTAGATGATCACACACTATTTAGTGGAAGGTGTGTGTCCTTTCCTTGTGACTCGGTGGATTGGTCAGTTCAAAAACCTAGGACTAGCAGAGCGTTGAACCACGAAAACTAGCATGGAAAGCAGGAGCCCATGTGAAGTGCAGCCGCACACCATGGGGGGCCCCCTCTTCCGCAATAAGCATTGTGTTTGAAGTCCAGCGCTTGTTCTCTTTTACAGTCTTGCGTCTTTCGTCGATTTCCTCATCCAAATATTATGAAGCAAATCGCACAGCAAGCTGCATTAGTGATGTCCTGTTTCAAGCATCGTTGCGACAAATGAGCATCTACATCTACTTGAATATAGAAAACTGACGAAGCAAGGTGCAGATTACTCGATTTGATTGTCTAACGAGTGCATGAAAAAGTAGAGGAAACACAACACGTCGCACTACCACAGTGTTCTGTCCACATGCATTCATGTTCTGTGCAGTACTTCACACAAATTTTATGGCGATCCCAATCTTGCACAAATAGGCAACGTTGCTAAAACCCGCCAACTGGATCGTTTGTTTGATACATAATTCATTTATTGTTTGCCCCTTCCTTCATTAATGGCTGTGTTTCAATTCTTTGACTTTTTCTATATACTTATGCCGCAAACAGCTCGCACTTGCTCTCTTAGACCATAGTTTCCTTAAAATAACGGAATTCTGGCGCTGCAATCGGTCAGCGACCATGGGAATTATGGGTAGTACACGGATTTGCCTCGTCTTCGTACTTGCAGGCGGCGAATCTCACTAGCGCAACTGCTTAACGTTTGTGGATTTTTGTTTCGTGAGAAAGCAGCTCCAAGCCACACGAACACACACAAAGCCAGAAGTACGAAGATTAGACAAATCTGTGTACTACCCTATTGTTCCCATGTTCGCTGAGGCACCGTGCGTTGCAGCTCCCATAGACACTAGTGCCAGAGTTCCCTCGAGTGTATATTAGGAAACTCTACAGTTTATACTGCTGAGAAATATAAGCAATTACTTCCATACGCTTAGAAGCACTTCTACATTGTTGCCGATCTTTCCCTTTGAACTGTCAATGCTCCTCTCACTTTCAGAGCAGTTATTCTAATACTAACTTGGCTCACCTTTTATTCATGCATATTGTGTGAGACGGAATACATACTTGATCGTCAGCCACAATATGTAGGTATTTGATGCTGCTGAACAGATATTTAATAAAATAACCACCGTTGCCCAACATAGTTTATTTACCTATCTGTCAACAGTTCGTGCAGAAAAAATGCGAGTATTTTGGCAGAGCAGTGTAATTTACCACCAAAATTTTCAGACACGTCTATCGGAAGTTTGCTTTTTGCAAAACACCGATTGCTAACTAGAACTGCCATCTGTATCCGCTGTGGGTTTAGCAGATTTTTTTTAATGCCTTTATAATTCAACTAGATGCAGCCACAAATGCCCATACTAGCGTGTTTAACTTTTCAAACAAAACAGCCAGCAAAGCTGAGTTATTGCAGAGGTGTGGACATGCAGTTAAGTTTTCAAGGTCACAGAACTGTCAGTTCAAAACCACCACAAAGGAACAGCTCAAGGAAAAAAGGCACAAGGAACGTCCTTTTTATTTTATGTGAAACAGAGCGATTCACTTCTTGGCCGCTGCTGTCTTGGCCGAAATCTTGCCTCCAACCTTGGCCTTCTTTGTGGGCTTCTTCGAAGCAGGGTCCTTGGCCTTGCCACCCCTCTTTTTGATCGCAGCTGCACGGCGAGCCTCAAATGACTGCTTCAGAGAGAGCTGCCAAGGCTTCAGCTTGCTCTCATCCAGCTTCACCTGGAAGCATTCAAAAGACATCATCACACTCGGACTCTGTTCAAGACTTATACGCTTGAAAAACTAATTTCGTCGCAATTAAGGCGCTTCCTGGGTGAAGAGAATGTACTTTGTCCCCAGCAACACGGCTTTGTTGCAAACAGGTCCACTTCAACTGCTGTTTCGATGCTTACGCAATATATTAATTCCGCACTACATGAAAACAACATAGCAATAGCAGTATTGTTAGACATACGAAAGGCATTTGATGCTATTAGTCATTCCATTTTACTGGAAAAAATGCATTCCTATGGGATAAAAGGTAACGCTTGATTTTTTTTCTAGTTATTTATCGGCACGCAAACAAAAGGCGACATCAAGTCATCTTACGGTTATATTAAATGCGGGGTGCCACTGGGTTCAGTTTTGGGCCCTATATTGTTCTCTCTTTATATTAATGATGTCCCGCGATCCCTACAGAGGTCAAGGGCACTGATGTACGCGGACGACACTGTTTTAGTTTTCACAGGACACTCCTTAGCAGATTTACAAAATGACGCGATGACCGATTTATCGAACATTTCGGAATGGTTTGCCAGGAATCAGCTGACTGTTAACTGTACCAAAACAAAGTACATGGTGTTTCACTCTCGTGGGAAACATATTGACGCTGAATCTCTTAACCTAACAATAAACAACGCTCCTATTCAACAAGTTCCTTGTTTTAAATATTTAGGCGTCACTTTTGATGAACATTTACACTGGCATGAGCAAGTACAGAGTGTGTGCGCAAAGGTAGCCTATGGCTGCTATTCTCTAATAAAAGCTCGCCAATATTTTCCACAAGCTATACTTCGCACACTCTACTTTTCATTGTGTCATTGTCACATAGGTTACTGTCTGGAATCGTGGGGTGTGACGTACAACAGTTATCTAAAAACTCTTGAACGACTTCAAAAGCGTACACTGAAAATCATAAGCCAAGGTGAATCAGTAAGTAATATTTTCCAATCACAACGCATTCTCTCGGTTCCGATGTTGCGTGACTACAAAATTGCCGTTTTAGTAAATAACATAATTAATAAAAATTCACCTTTGCCTGCTGATCTTTTTACAATTCCGAAACGCAATACGCGACATGCTTCGAATGGTAATTTCAATCTGCCCAAATGTTTTAATGTTTACGGAGAAAGACTGATACAGTTTAATGGAACAAAAATATGGAACACTGTTCCCCTAGAGATTAAAACGGCACGTAATTTCAGCATGGCATGTAAATCATTTTTTCTGTGGAGTCAAGACATGTAAGCATGTGTGTGTTTGATTCGATTTTCATTGTATATTTTTTAATAAGTGCCTATCTATAGAAACTAGCTGCAAGCTAATAAGTATGCATATCTGCAGGAAAAAATGTATTACTGTGTTATCTGTATTATATGATTGTTTTTTTTTGATGTTACCTCAGAGCTG